TAAAACAGGATGACCTTATCTCCAACATAAAATTGTATCCGAATCAGAGCAACGGTTCTCAGGTTACGAGGTGCGACAGCACGAAAATAGTTTTTAACTATTTTAACTTACGGAAAATTGTATTAGCGTAAAACGTCTTATTTTTCTATACAAATTTTGTTCGAATCTTTTCCCGCTCCGATAAACATTTAGCCATTTATGCTCGTGTACATCCTCAAAGTTTCTGCAGTTTTTGTCCGATTTTAATCAGTATTTAAATATACCAAGAAATTTTATTAAAAATTCCAAATATAAACTTTCATGAAAATCTGTTTATCAGGTCTCGAGTTGTCAAATACGGGCAGACGAACATAGTGAAGCTCATAGGCACGTTTATGTAACTTCGATGCTAACGCATTTAAAAAAACGAAGATTTCAACACCAAATAAAAACAGAAGACATAATTAATTATCCGCCCTTTGTATGAAGTATAGAAAGCGAACGGATGGCAATGATATGCTGTGTGCCACTTTGCTTGTACGTTTCATCTAGACTTAACTGGACATGGAGAGTTCCGCTAAAATTTTGAAAATGAATCTTATTTCTATCTGTATCCGGCCAACATAACATCTATTTTACATGATTCCCAAAATAGCTGTCAGCAAATTGCACGCTTCAAGGACACAGCAAATTCGTACAACGTTGCAGGACGAATGATGATTTCACAAAGATTGCAGCTCGCAGCGTACCAAAACTTGCAACGCTGTTATTTTGACTTTGAACTGCGAGGTAAGGCGTGCGTGCGTGTGCGTGTGTGAGCGCGCGCGTAGACTTCCTTCCGTGACCTTGAAGCATGTAATTCGGTGACGGCCACTCAAATTATACTTTATTGCATTTAATAGAATAGGCTCACTGTAAATACTTTTTGAAAACCTATATTTCTACAGTTTCTATCCTTGCAAAGACGCATAAATTATCACAAAGTAATTATTCAAGTCTGCAGTGTGTTTCATGCGCGTAAGTGCTAAGATTTCCTCTAACTGAAATTTATTGTAACACAAGCTAAAGATTAAGTTTCATAAAATAGTTTGTATACATGTTAATAATTTATCTCCACGCCCAATTTAATGTACTGAGACTGTTTAGTCAAATCTATTCGTGCATTTCTTTCAGTCCTAATTTGGAATTTTTTATAACAGAAAGTAACTTCCACAAAAGAAAGTGTTTAAAAATATTTTAGTGGGCATGATGGCATAGATTCCAATGACATTATATTTATACCCTTAGTTTCGTGAAAATATGTTTGCTGGTTTAAGAGTTGGGATGTCGCACATAAAAGAATGTTGCTATGACAATTTTATATCGATGAATTCGGTCACAGAAAATGTTTCGTTTATAATTACCAAATAACATTTCCGATAACTGCACATGAAATAAAAATGGCAATTTTGGGGTTTATATAATCTACTGTAAAGGCCAGATTACTAAGAAACCTTACGTACAGAACCCTCAGACGAAGACTACCTTGTCTGAAATAAAGGGCTATTGAACGTTTGACAGTGGGGCACAATTTACTCGGTTGGTGTCAAAGGACATCGAACACAACAATAAACCGTGGGATACAGTAAAAGGCAGACGAATTGTCGACCACGTGGAAGACTATGAGCTGCTGAAGGAGAGCTCTGGTTCAGCCTTTATTAAATAAGATTAATTACACGTAACTTGTGTCGTATCAGGCAACTTCTACCACTTCAACTACTCGTTTCGCTAAAGAATGCTGGGAAAAGTACGTACACAGTGATGTTAAGTTCGTTGGTCCTACAGACTCATTTTATCTCGTGTTTGCACTACTCTAAAATATGCTTTGTAAGCTAAATTTACATAGTTCTACATTTGATTTAAATAGTGACCTTGGTGCTAGATTACGTCGGTTGAAAATATAAATTTATTAGAATCTAGTGACTTCATTACAGAGTTTTAAAGTTTTATAAAAATTCTATCAATGTTCGTTAAACATTTTTTCAGGTCTCAATTTCTTATAAAATTCCATAAATTTAATAATCTCAACTGCACAACAAATTCCTTGTCATTTATAAAATTCCAAATTTCGTTTACATGCGTCTTATGCTACAGTAGTTCAATTCAGTCCACACCTTCATGTCCTATTTCATTAAGATTCGTTTTAATATTATTCTTCCTCCTAATATCCAATGTCGTATCTTCCTTTCAGATTTATCTACAAAATGTTTATGATTTTCTTATTTCTTCATGCGTTTTACATCTCTCACACAGTTCGTTCTTCGTGATTTGATTAATTTCAACTGTACTTGGTTCAGAGTACAAGCCGTAAAGCTGTTCACAGCCCTGGAAAATCCTCGATGTAGCGGGTTTAACGAAAGTCATAAATCTGCTTTCTGTAAGAAATCAGCATTATGCGAAATGTAATGGCGTCGGACTTGAACCCGGCTCCTGTGGAACGGAAATCGGCCTTCGGATTTACAAAGAGAGAGGAATTTATTGACCAGTTGAGCTGAATCGGTTTTCCAAGGACTTTTTAATTTGTGACAAAATGGAAGTACCGAAACTTTGCACCTCATTTTGCTATCTATAATATCAAGAATTTATCTTATGAATAAGTAAAATTTTAGGTTCTCGTGGATTTAGCACGAAGATTACTGTCTCCTGGGGTGTGCCTTGTAATATTCTACACAATTCGAAGGCGCAACAATCCATAAGACAGCAATCATGATATGAATATGCTTATCAATATTTTTACGTTGTGTAAATAAATATTTTTACTTGGAACAAACATTAAAAGTATGTTCAATTAAATGTAATTAAGCCGTATAGTTATCCTATGTCTTTTGGCCCCTGTGAGGCATTACCTTTGAAAATTTGTCCTTTAAAAAAACCGTTCCTCACTCGCAACATAAGTTCATGCATTTAATTAAATAAACTACCTGTGTGGTTGCAGAAGCCGATGGTTCTGCACCGCCAATACAAAAACCCGCTACTGTATACGATCTTAAGCCAGTTTCATCCGCCTCCGATTCTCGGAATATTGTATTCGAATTTCTTTCTCGCTCTAACAAGAAATTTCCCCACCAAAATTCTCTATGGATTTATATTCCCGAAATTATTCACAGCACGTAGCAACACCCGTGATTTCGCTACTCTAATACTAAGTGTCCAACGTAATTTACGAAAAATTTTGTTGTATAATATTTTAAATTGCTCACTCACACAATTTCACCTATGTCACTACTTCACTTCTTTCCCAAGTATGTCATAAATGGATGTACAAGAGTGGAAAGGTGTACTCCAGACACAAAGATTTAAAATGGTACGTCTTATCTGCTACTCACATGTGTAGTTCCCTAAATATAAACAATAACAAAATATTATTAAAATACAACTTGCCTATAGTCTATTAATGAGGTCTGTATCTAGTCATATTTCTTCTTGAGAAAACTTAACTGCTTTATGTTTACTGTAAAGTTGGAACAGTTTTACAACACACACACACACCACTTTCTCGAAGACACATTTATTTTCTGTGTCCCGAAATTTTATTATCAGTTGATATATCGTCTTATTCGGTATTTCCTTGTCAGGATACGCACTGCTGATGCTTCACGAAGAACAGCAAACGATTTTAATGATAAATAATGTTTGAAAATAAACTAAAGTTTTGCTCGTGAACTCGCCATGTTTACATCTGCATAGCTTTCGCATAACTGGAATGATTAGCGGCCTAGCAACTAGTGTGACCTTGACTCGTGTATCACGGGATAGGTTGGGAGAGTCTGTTACACGGGAAAGAAATTACGTCTGACTTGTATATCGCAGTTCATAATTTTCTGTCGGGTTGCGTTTTGAGTGCTACATCCTACATTATTAGTGTAATATAGCGTCATTTACTTTAAATTATTTGACGGCTGGTATAACCAGGCCGTAATTTTCTTCCAGAATTTTTAACTAGTTACCCGAGGAAGAGTGTACTAAAAACGTAAAATGACTTACACAATATCTGTATAAAATTCACCGATTTCGAACAAATTTAATAGTAACAACAAGAATGACAACGACAATGAAATCTCTTACCAGTCGACGCAGAAAGCTCAGTCATATGTCTTAAAATCCTACAGCCGATTTTCGTTCGATTATCAGTGCATTCAATATACAAACAGCCGACGGACATCACATGTAAACAAAACACACTTTCTGTTTTAATGACACATAAAAGCTGGATTATCTTATTATTATTTGAACTTCGTGTACAGAAAGCACAAAAATGTTATATCCCCGCCGATGAATTGAATTGAATATTTATTTTCTAGTAACAGGTACATTGATTTTATATCATTAACCCAAATACAACCTCTAAACAGAATAATCTGTGGGGTTGTATGTCATTTTTATAGACCTTTTTACCGTCGAAGACGCCCATGGTGCACCACGAGGAAATAGGTCTATGTCACACCCCATTGAACTGAATATTGGTTTCTGCATGTCGTTTGTTTCTTATGTTTCAGAAGTTGGCAATCAAGGTGTATCAGCCGCTACTAATTATGAAACTCCCAAGCAAATACGGAGAGAGTCATTGTTAAACACTAGGAGATAGAAGCAATCATATATCTTTGCCATCGTAATAGCTTAATGTAAAAGTGTGATGACAGCGGAATTAGAACACATTCGCTTGCATAGGTGACAACGTTAAAAATCAGAGAGCAAAGCAAAACTAGAGATATTTCCAGTGTCAGCATCAGTGCTACAGAGACGTTTACAGTAGTCGGAGGCGGCAGTGAAATTTTACTGGTGCTTTATAAAACAAGGGCAAGGTATATCCTTGGTAATATATTTTATCAGAAACTCAAAAACAGAAGAATTGTTCGCCTTTGTGACAATAGTGTAGTTCGGGTTCTTTGTTAAAAAAAATATTGTTATAATTCACAATTTGCCAAGAATTTTATGAAAAATACTAGTATTTGAGATATTACTTTGTTTTTTGAGAATACAATAATATTTGTATTATTAATTTTTGTTTCTCGAGTTATAGTATTTTTAACAATTTATGAATTACGTGCGGTGTAAAAATAACAAGAAAAACATTTTAAATAAAATAGAACCGCTCAGTTCCCAAACAATTTTAAATTTTAAATAGACGACTTCAAACGGATTTGGCCAAAAGAAATGTAACATTGGAATTTGTATAATACACAGTAATATATCTGTGAATGGAGAACACTACAGTATCCCTTATGGAGGAATAATTGTGTCTGAGGCTAGTTTACGACGATTCTAAGACAAGATCATTGTTAAAGCATACAAAATTGCAAACAGAGAGGTAAATTTTAAGAAACAAAAAAAAAAAGTATTTTAAGTCAAAATAAAACCGAAGAATTCTGACTAAAAATATGGAATCGAATAATCGAAATCACCAAGGTAACAACACTGTGACCAACATGAAGTCAGATAAAGAGAAGATGATTCCACCAAGAGGTTTTGAGAACTTGTACAGAGAGCATCCACTGACAGACGAGACGACTTGCGGAATTGGACCTATCCGCTCCGCCTGGCTGCAGAAATTCGCGAACAAGAAGGCTTATGTGTTTTTGTACGGACTTCTGGGATGTACATTCTCTGCCAGCTATGCGTACTTCAATGGTACGATTACCACTCTCGAAAAAAGATTCAAGATTCCCAGCAGGACGACAGGTAAGGATAATTGGCACATTTAGCGGTAACAAGTAACGACAGAAATATAAGTAAATTCCATATCTAAATGAATGTTTTGAGCCTCTGAAGACAGTTTATGATGGCCAAAACATGCAGGACAATAAATAACATTTAATGTTTATGCAATGGACTTGTATGGTGCTTTAGCAGCAAATTGGATTAAACGAAAGAGCGATACATTTAACTGAATACAGGTTTCTGTATCAGTCGGCTAAATTACAATAAAATAACTAAATTGAACATGAAGTATGATAATATTGGTGGGATATGTAGTGTGAAAATGAGAAATGGATACACAATTTAATCGAAATCTCGCAAGGTAAGAGTCTACGTTGAGAGACTTAAGTGTAAATGGGTGGATAATATTAAAGTAAAGATTGGAAAAATAAGTTTTGGCACAGGTATAAATGACTCAGCGGTGTTTTTATAATACGATAATGAACCCTTGGTTCCCATAAACTTGAGTAATTATAAGCTTTACAAGAAAGGCCCTGTAATGAGATATTTGTCGGTTAATTGAAATCTTGTTAAGTCACGTAACCAAAATATGTAGTCAGAATACAACGGAGTTAGTAAATTGCTTCAAAATACTCCAACATTTTAAGTGCAAAGAAATTAAAGTTTGTTGCTGTTCTGTTAAATAACCCACAATGATAAGCCCATGCTAGTATTTTAGTAGTCAAACTGATTAAAATATTTTAGTTGTTATTTAATATTTAAGTTCATTTTAAGGAACTATCAAATTAGCCCGTCAAGATTGGCGGTAGTAATTAAAAACACATTTTATTGAGAAGCCTAAAACAGCAACATATAAACATTAAAATAATTTCTTATATTTGTTTAATACAAACTTTTAATGTGATTTATTGTAGTGGAAGATCTATTTTATTTAATTATAGAGAAATAAATCCACGTAGTAGGCTGTGGGTGAGTTAACCGTCTTTTGTTTCAGTGCACTATATTCACAAAACAGCTTATAAAAAATGAAAATCAGTTCTTATCTTTACGATTTCATGCGGTGCAAATAGTAATGTCGCCAAGGTAACGCCAGAACAGATACCAAATAATTAACTACTGAATTTTCATGGAAACATGAGCGTTAATCTACATGTATAAGGGTGTTGTATACAAAGTCATCACCAATTAACATTGCTTACTATATAGAGAGAAGAAAGTTTCCTAAGGCAATGCAAATACAATACCTTTGAGGGTGTCTTGACAGAGTTAAATACAAAAACATTTATCTGATTATAACTGCTTTGACACTGATTTTAATGTACTTTACCGCTACAGTTAAGCAATATATTAATGGGTTTTTGTTATAAATAAAATCTTGGCATTTTTAATTCAATATTACCAATTCACTGGCTAAAAAATGCATTATTCGACGTTATCAGAAAGAAATACACAAGCTAATTTATTTTAAGTTATTATCTCTTTAACTTGGCTGGATTACCTAGGAAAATCACGAGAAAATCTGTGAGATTTCAGGTTCTATTATCGGCGACTATAAAGTAGGTTGTCTTGCGGGTTTCAGACGTGTTTCTTGCCTCCATCATCAGGGAAATCATGGCCCTGAAGATGGAGGCATTCTGATAATATAGACCACGCACTGTAAAATATTTGAAAACATTGAGAAAGCTGACAATATGATCACTTACAAGTAATGAACTTTGCATCATGGGTCACACGAGATTGTTATGTGTCAACATATGGTACGGTATTTAATGTCAAATTATTTGAGGCCGTGCTGATAAAGCAAGAAGTCGTAGGTCAAAGAGACAGTACTGAGAAAGTGTGACGGACTTCCCTGCTGTAAAATTTCGGTAAGTTATGACAACTCCTCAAAATTGTTAATGGTTTAGATGAATAAATGGAGAGAGGGTTATTTAACTAACGCTGTAAGAGGTCCTGAGGTTTTTTCGATAGACTTGTAAGAATCAAGGAAAAAGCATTATTGGTCTATTTTAAGGCGTTCACGTAGAGAGACTGAGGACAATCTCATTTAAGATAGTCAGTATTTCGGCTGAGATTCGAAATGTAAATCTTCTGAATATCCTCTGTTTCCTAGATGAAATTCGTTTTTCAACTTGTGTTTTTTACGCGATGGACATCACATTATCGTCCGATATCTTGAATTCTTCCTTATCTAAGAAAGTAACATCTTAACGCTATAAAAATTCGGTGATATTTCAGGTTCTCAACTAGAAATTGATCAACATTTCAGAGGTGTTTACTGCCTCCATCTTCAAGGCATGAGTATTATGGCTGATCGCTTTGATTACTGAGCACCTCTGAATAGTTTGTCAACATTAACGAGACTATACTGAGCATTATCGCAAAAGGTTCTTAACTTATTACCATCCGTACATGATCAAAATCATTCTACATATTTTTTGGTTCTTTCACGGGTTCCGTAAATATTGTTACCCAATGACTTGGTTCTTCTTCCTTTTTAAAATAAATTTCTTGCTCTCCCTCTACCCACATGTGATTCACGATTGTTCCTTTACTATAATTCTTTTTTTAGCCACTTTTCCAAGCACCTGACACCATATTGTTGCTTAATGTCGCTTGATGACGTGGTTTCTCTGACACAGGAATCATCACAGTAGGAAACGACATCAGTCAGCTGTTCGTGTCCATAGTTTTGAGCTACTACACCGGCCGAGGTCATAGACCACGATGGATTGCCCTGGGCATCTACACTGTGGTGCTCTACTGTCTCATGTCTGCACTTCCTCATCTACTGTACGGACCCGGAGAAGATGCATTGGCTCTCACTGTGGAGTACGGAGGTATCGTGGACCAGAATGCCACGCAAGAAGCAATAAGTAAGTGCCTACAACGTCGTTATACTCACTACATTGAGAAACATCTATGGTTTGCTTTCATTATTACGAATGAACATCTATTGTACTATGTGAGATTTCAAGCGACAAGTTTCAAGATGTCATCTGGGACGTTTTGTTGTGTGCTCTGGTAGATACTGACTCACGTTTCGGAGGAGTTTCTCTGAAACGTTGGTCAATGTCTATGAGAAAACACGGTGCAACTTCCCAGAAGACAGCCACCTTTGATAGGACGGTTGAAAAGTCATACAATCTATAATAAATTATTTTTTGATGGTTGCATTCCAAAACATTTAGATTGGATTATTAAGAACACAATATAGTGTGACTATAGAAGAGTCCATGTAGGTCACGCCATGTTGTCACCAGCTCAAGGATGTCCGTCACTTATCTTCCAACAGTCTAAATGCAAGAATGTCTAATTGTAAAACACTACCTGGCGTCTTGTTCTTACTTAAGTTACCATAATGAGTTTGGGAATACATTTCCCTATTCTCCTGTACCAAAAAAGTCGATAGTATCTCGTCTCTCGAACCGTTTCTGTGACAGGAACCGACGGTATTTAACTTGCAAGGCTATCAGGAAAATATTGAAAGCTGAACGTGGTGGACATTTCCAACATTTAATATAACATGATTCGCATGTTTGATTTCAATGTAACTTACGTTATGACAAACAAAACAGGAATGAGTTGCGTGAATTTTCGATCATTCTGTATTCTTTATTCCATAACACTCATCCTTGTTGTTTCTTGAGTTTAATGCTGCTTTCAAAGTCGTACGTTACGCAACATCGATTTGCAGGATTATCTACGAGCGATAAATTGGAAATCATGTCTAAGGACTAGCCTATTTGAAGATGCTATTTCAGCATTTGTCTCGAGGAACTGGACTAAACATCGAAGAGTCTCCATGGCGAGATTTAAACACTGAAGCTCTAGAATGTGAAGCAAAGTTGTTATCCATTAGACCGATACATTCAATACGTCTTTTTTCTTGTCTGTTCTTCGACCTATTATTTTCCTTCTATTCCCTCTTCTTACTTTCCTTCTCTCACCGTATTATTTCCATGGCGGCAGTGCGAATTTCTGAAGTGGGACTAATATTTTCCTTACTCATTTCCGAAGTTTTCCTTGTGATAGTAGTAGTAGTAGTAGTAGTAGCTTTAGTAAGTGCCATTGAAAGATTCAAGGTATAGGCCTAGTCTTTGAGAACCAACAAACATATATTGGAAAACTACGTTCGTTTAATCATAGCTGTCTGCAAGTAACAACGTCAAAATTATGAGACCTATTGGTAAGAAACACTATATGGTAAATTACACTAACACGAAATAATTTTTTTTATTTTTTTAGGTTTTCTTCCATTTTAATTACATCTATATTTGAGGGCCTAAACAGACTTAAGCGCAAGATCTTTAACCCTAGGGCATATTTTCATGAAACTACAAACGTATTACTTCTATTAGACAAGTATCAACAAGCGAGTTTAATTCACTGTAACCTCTTGAACTACATCCAGTGGTAACTAGATGCACCATATAAATTTAGAATCTATAAAGCGGCATGTCTTTATGAGTTTAATACGGTCTTCAAAGTGAACAGCGATCATTTCCTTAAACATCATTCAGCATATGTTCTTTGTAATGGTGGTGTTATGTTTTCTTTGCGGTACGGTCCGATCTTTAAATAATATTTCGATAAACTTCGATTTCAAAGATTTAATTATAGGTTACATTTAATGTCAGCCGACTGAGTAACAATCATGTACAATTCTAATGTTCAAGATATTGAGAAGAGAAAAATTCTGTGCGGTTCAAAAGGCGAAGGTGGTGGCTGTGAGAAGTCTGATGGCAGTATTTGGCCGCCAACCATTTTCTTCTTGGCTAACTTCGTAGCCGGCATGGGTGGCTCCCTGTATTACACGCTCGGGGTTTCCTACATGGATGACAACATTCAAAAAGCAAAGACGCCGGCCCTAATCAGTGAGTATCAGACGATTATTTGCTGAACGATGTTGATATTCCGCTTACTTGATGCGTTCACAGCTCCAGTGGCGAAAAGCCAAAATGAATTTTGAGCAAACGAGCCTCAGACTTGGTACACAACAGTCCATTCATCCCTTATAAACAATGGATCTAATGAAACGATGGAGCTAACAACAAGAGGACTGAGACATGAGACAGACCATGGATTCGTATTTCTTATACCACCGAAAATATATTTTTTAGTTCGCCTTGCAACTCTTAGCTCCTCGGTTTAACCTGATCTGACAACTGTGGTTAGCATTGTTAAACTACATGTCCTAACTTATATTTACATCGTGTGTCTTCTCTTTAATTATTTTAATACTAATTTGTGGACTTTCATGAAGCTGGGCACAAACATCTTCATACTAATTGAGATTCTGACGTAGGAGGGTGATAAGATGGCTGTCTTCTGTGTTGTTTCGACGTCAAGGAGATCGCCCTAATGATGGAGGCAGCAAGTACATCAGGAACGTCGGTAAACCTTTACCATACTATGTGGCGAAACAACCCAGAACGTAATCATCTTCATTATGACACTAGAGGCCACCCATGACTGTACTTTTCAGTGTACGTCCCTTCTTCGGCGTCAAGTGTGAAGTTTTCCTAAATCTCTTCTTTCGTTTGGTTTGTATTTTAATGTTTGTTTTACATATCCTTCATCTTTTCCGAATGTTATCAATCTATTTGTTCGTTCATCTTATAACATCTTAGTCAGTTAAACAACTTTTAGTCTTTCTTCCATGTCCCAGTTTTGGTTTTGCATTATCTTGGTCGATGTTGCTTTGTATGGGTGCGAAACAAGGTCTCTCACTCAGAGGGAGGAACACAGATTGCAGGTGTTTGAGAATAGGGTGTTGAGGAAGATATTTGGGCCTAAGAGAGAAGACGATGGAGCATGGAGAAAACTGCATAATGATGAGCTTAAAAATCTGTACTCCTCCCCCAATATTGTCAGGGTGAGTAAGTCGAGAAGAATGAGATGGGCGGGGAATGTAGCGCGCATGGATGGAACAAGAGGTGTATGTACCGGGTACTGGTTGGAAAACCTGAAGGGAAAAGACCGCTGGGGAGACCTAGACGTAGATGGGAGGATAATCTCAGGCGGGATCCATGTGAGATAGGAGTTGAAGGAGACTGGATTTTGTTGGCCCAGGACAGGGACCGGTGGAGGGCTTTGGTTAATTCGGTGATGAACTTTCGGGTTCGGTAAGCCATCTAGTTAATTAGTTATTATCTCGGTCCAACAACAATCCTCAGAAACGTCATTTAAGACACTTTATTTATCTTGTTATTAGTTACTTTTATCGCCTGTATTTCACAACCATACAGGGTGGATTGTGTATGATCAAAATTATACTTTTATTATCACTACTGCTCCTTATTCGCGACTCCCTTCTCCTTACTCCCTCGAGATAAAGGCTGTGAAGGATCCATGAGATAATCCACGACCACTTCCTCACACAAATAACCCCACCCTACGCGAGAACGTATGTATAACCTATAACTAATTAATTCCACGGACAACATTCCCTCTTACGACGCTGATAACTGCTCACCCTGTTAAGAGGTTCGCAGTTTTTATGGGAACCGTGTCCTGGGGATCTCTTTCGTTGTTCATAAGAAACAGTCACTGGGTTAAATTTTAAACCAGTTGCTTCCAGTCCACACTCTCACACATTTTTTGCGAGATCCATAATAGCTTATCCTCGCATCTTTTGAGGCTTCCTCATACATTGCATTTTAAAGAACGTAGTTATTTAAAGTTATGCCACAGTAATTTTATAGTTTATTACAAGACAGCACAGAAATTCGTACTCACAAGACATTGCAGAGGGAATTCAAACTAAGGATATCCTTGTTTAAGACAGTCTAAGACCGTGTTATCGGTGCCGGCTTTGTATATCAAGGCAATTTCTTTAAGGCTTTGCTTCCAAGTTGCTTGCTTATTAAAGTTATTCTTAATTGTTTTGAATGGGACTCTACCTCATGTGTGTAACACTGCCTACAAGGTATGTTGCTCCCAGTCCGTAGTTGAGGTCAAACTCAATCCATTCTCTGTCGGCAATTTAGACCCATTACGATGGCTCATTTATAAATGGTAGACGTGACGTCATACGGTGATGGCGTGACTTTCAATTGACTGATGACTGGACCATGTCTTTTTCATTGTTCAAACTGTTCCACAAGCAGCAACTGCGCTTTTTCAGATGCCTAAACCCTGGCTGCAGGTCGTTCAAATTGGACCGAAGCGACTGCTCCGATCTACTCTTCTTCCTTTTGTATCTTTCTTTCTTTTTCATTCGTATTTTTGTTTATTTATCTCTTTCCATCATCTCTCACCTTCCTTTCTTACATTCCTCCATCCTTCATTCCTTTGGAGTTTCTTATCGTCCTCTGAATCTATTTTTTACTTATATCTCCAATTCCACGTCTGTTTTCTCTCTTTCACCCTAAAGATTGCAAACTGTAATATTTACCAAAACGTTTGCTAATACTCGACGCGGTTCACCCCCAAAATCCGAAGTTACATACGTAACTCCAATTCCAAAACCTAAGGGCAAGAATTAATTAGTCATGAAAAATATTCCAGGTTTCTCTTATTTCTTGCGGATGCTGGGTCCAGCTATTGGCTACGCGCTTGCATCTGTATGCCTCAAGTTTTACATCTCACCATCCCTTACACCCACAATAGGCACGGATGATCCACGTTGGCTTGGCGCATGGTGGTTTGGTGAGTTCAGAACACATTATAAAATTGTGCAATTTGTAACATTCGTCTCAGCGTGTTTAAAATGCTCTAAGAAATTTATCTTCAAGACAAAAGCAAACATAAAAAGAAGAAAATATATGACGGCCTATCGTTAAGTAATCGATGTTTTCAAATTAAGATAATAGGTTAATACCAAAATAATCTTCTAGAAATGTACGTAAAACCCAACAGTAAATGAAACTCAAGAAAAATAGTTTGTTTTCAGCAATACAGAGGAGGAAGATTTTGATATTTGGATATCAAAATCATTTACACACTTAACTAAACTACATCGTGGTGTTTAATAAAACGGTAAAATTCTTGATTCTGTAGAGTTGTATGTCAGTTACTGGGTCACTGCAGGAACATTTTGCTTACCACTGTTAATTGCCTTCAATCTCTTCATTTTCTACATGACAACATCTACGTTTTTTTCACGTGGCACTTACCTCTGTACGTCCATTCGCAGGCTGGATCATCATCTCCATCGTGTTGGCAGTGCTAGCCGGCCTTCTCGCCCTATTCCCCAAGACACTTCCTCGAGCAGCCGTCAGAAGAATGGTGGCGCTGGAAAGACAGAAGAGTCCCGTAAAATCTGAACCTGAACTCCCAGCCTCAGTATCGGGTAATTTAATGTTTCAAAGTATAAGATATTGTCGGTTTTAATTTAATTATTAGTATACGTACGTTTACAATTTCTCACTATGAAAATGTGTCTTGCAGGACTGAACAGACGATAATGGTCTGATGCCTGTCTTCACCAAAATAAAATATATAATGCTCTCGCCATGTTAGAATTCATTATTTACCAAAAGAAAAATATCCAATGAAGTATAGATATTTTTAAAATATATCCATACAGAATTTTAAGACACTGTACTGAAATTCCGAATGTCTTCAGGATTATAGCGCCATATAGCCTGCTAGAAGTTTACCGACGTTTCAGAGGCAGCAAGTGTCTCTAAAACTTCAGTAAACTTCTTTAAAACTACACGCCACAAGAATCCAGAAGACAGAAATTTTGATCAAAATTTTAATCTTATCCCCGTCAGAAATTCGCACGGTAGCCATATTTGTACTGACTTCAACAGTAAGTTAAAAATTTGACGATAAAAATAGGCCCAAATTAAAGCTAATCACTGTTATGAAAGTAAAGGCATTTAGTGATCCTTACACAAGATTAGTGAAGTAACTGTTTTTGTTCTGAATGGCAAGAGATTAAGTTTTCTCTCCTCCATCAAGTTCAGACTTTGGGGAGAACTTAGTTTTCAATCCGATCAGTACCAGGGCAGTGGTGAGATCACCTGCTTCATATTTGGGGGGGTCCTGTTCAAATATCGGACTGGAGAACGTCTATCGTCAAATTCTTCGTGTTTTTCCTTATTTACTGTAAAATGTGTTGTGTAAGTACTTTGAAGCAAACAAATGATCCTACCGTTTAACAGTTTGCCTACATCCACCTAATATATTCACCTTAAAAAGCGTTTTTAAATAAGTGAAGATCGCAAATCAATATGATAAGATGGAGCTCTACCCCCACTACCATTCAACTTATGTCTGTGGTGGTATTTAACCTTTCTGAAACCGAATCTCGTCTAAATAACATTTAAGAATTCATTCCGTACCTCTAAGAGAATACGACACTTCAACACAACAAATACCAACTGGTTAATGCTGTTCAGGAAAATAATCCCTGTTTACAGTGAGAGTAATAAGAAACCCATAAATGAAGAGTTATTATTGTTGAAGCAGGTAGGTCATATAGTTACCATTGGACTTTGAAGGGTTAAGCAAAATAACAAAATTTTGCTACGAATTAGCGGTGAATTTAGGTTTCCTGGACGTTTCAGACATGATGCAGACCTTCTGGCGACTGATAACCAATCCGACTTTGATGTGCAACAACCTGGCCTCTGTGTTCTATTTTCTGGGCTACATGCCTTATTGGGTGTTCATGGCGAAGTACATCGAGACTCAGTACAGGCAATCCGCCTCCACGTCCAGTCTGGTTACAGGTACAGTGCAATCAACCTCCTGGTGGGCTGCACGCGACAGACACGAACCTTGGCGGTTGGCGTACAGAAAATGTAAATACACAAATATCGTTTGCTTCATGCTTGAAGTAACCAGCTTCTTTAAACACCAGCTGTCTAAAGTTGATTGGCTCACGAGCGCACGTGACAGTAGCAGCAGATAAGCAGCAGTGTGCAAAATTCAGCCGCCGTCTTTTGTGTCCGTCTCTGACCCAGATCCCACTTTCTGCTCCATCACGTCCTTTGAAAGTATCTCCTAACCATAGTATTTACAGCCAGTCTATTCCACTTGTTCCAAACGATGTCCAATAAATACTTTACTGTTTCACAAATAAGTTACTTCTTGAGATTCTCCTGTGTTAATCTCATTTTCGAGATTTTTCTTTGTTAAATCTCACTAATATTTTAATTCTTGAGATTCTCTACCGTTAAATATCAGGAACATTTTTATTTATTTTACCACCTTAAATATTTTAAGTCTTTTTCCTTCTTCAAGATACGACATTTAAAAACATCGGACATTTTGCTACTTTAACATTTCTGGCATCATTTTCTTCTGGGGTTTCCCGCGTTAAATGTCTGAAGTCTTTTAATTCTTGTAATTTCACGAGTTAAACCTCGCAAGCATTTTCTTCACTCGGGTTCTCGCGATAGATCGGTCAATTCTTAACTCCTCTCGGGGTGTTCACACGTTAATTCTTTCGAATCTCTTCTTCAGAATTTTGTCGTATTAAATTTCTCAAGTAAGCTCTTCAAAGTCTCTCACCACACCCATAATCTTTATTTAAATTATTTGTATTTACATATGAATGTTGCCACGGCCATTCTCCCGTATTTTCTAATCTACGCTATATAATACAATATTAGGAACTCTCTTAAGTTTATTTTAATATTTTCGGTATGAAAAATATCTCACATCCCTTAACGTTCTTTCAGGTACCGTCGGCTTGGTGTTTTCTGCCTTTGGAATTCTACTATCTGGTCTGATAATTTCCAAGTACAAACCACGTGCCAGGTACCTGGCCGCATGGAATGTTATAGTTGGCATTATCTCTGTACTCGGTATTATATCTTACGCTTTTTTGGGATGTCCTGCCAGCGACAACCATGGAGCTCTTCTATCAAATGGCGAGTAAGTACATTTGAAGTAATTCTCGTGGGGGAAAAAAATGCTACATCAAGTTTTACCCACTAAAATTTCAATTAACATGTTCTACAGTCGGAAGTAAAGATAAAATTGTCATAAATGTTTAGTCAATAGATAACCTCGGTATGACGCTGCTTCATCTGAAACGGTTAGATACAGTCGAATGAAGAAGAAATAATTTTATGAAGAGCGTAAAGGGGAAAATTTAGACACTATCGTGACCTACTTTTGTGGATTATTCCTCCATTCGTTGGGAAAATAAATTTCACACTCCAGTTGCTTTATTGCCGTAAATAAACACCAAACAACTACAACTCTCTCCACTAAACTGGAAATGGGAAGGCTCCAGCGACGAACTACAGCTCCGTCGCGAACCAAAATCCTGCAGCCGAAATAAAATTTATACACTCTGCCGAATTATCTGCCACAGTTTTGCCTTATTTACAATCACACATGTCTTTACAAATAACAAAAATCCCTTACAGAAGCGACTTGCGGCCAACCAAATTAAAAATATGACTATCTCAGAAGTTCATGCTACTACCAACTTGGTGTTTTTGAAGACTACAGGTTGAAAACTGTCAATATAGTATAACCCTCGAAGAAAATTTGTTTATATAGTCTATGTATGCATGTATTTATTAATTTACTATACGTTCTTTGCGCGAAGTGAAATGAACGCGCGAATATAACTTGTGTTGTTTCGTGTGGGTGTGAAAGACAGTCTAACATTCTAAGAGAAAACAGAGTGTGTTGAAACAGAGTCCTGAGGAAGGTATTTGGACTCAGAGCAAATAATAAAAAAGTGCAGAAAATAGGCAGCCCGATACTTCGCACTTTGTGTAGATCATATAATGTTTTCAGGATAATTAAACAGAGATGGAAGTATGGGAGTAAGATGTAGCGTATGCAAAATTTTCGTAGGAAAATCTCAAGAAAAAATATAATTGAAATCTTCGGTATAATTGGAAAGATAATATAGAAATTCATATAGTGAGACACTCTGGGTTGAATTCAGCTCAGTGAGATTTCAGGGTCTCTCGGAGCTGAGTATGAAGACGGCTGACTTCTGTGTTGTTACGCTATGTAGTCTGGTAGAAATTTACTGACGTTTCAGATATGCTTATAGCCTTCATCATCGCCTTAACGATGGAGACACCGAGTCACTTTGAAACGCATATAAACTTCTACTAGACTACACGGCGCAACAACCTACAATGACGTCACCTTCATCTGCATTAAACTTGTTCAGCGCAGATTATAATGGCGGTCTTTCGTGAAAACAACGATGACCCTTTCCATTCCGGGACAGCAGAGAATTCCTTGACCACATTAGTAACTACCAAGTTACAATAATCTGCACCATACGGTTAGTTAAACTGTAATAACTGCAACTTCTTCTGTGCAGACTCGCGACAGACCAGACGTGTAACGCGGGCTGCAGTTGTGACTACGTTAAATATTCTCCTGTCTGTTCCGAGGATGGGACCACAACCTTCATCTCACCGTGTCATGCGGGTTGCAAACAGCAGCAGCACAATAATGGCAGCAAGGTGAGACTCTGAAAAAATTTGCCCATTTCTATGTCAGGATCGAATGGGTCTATTTCGTGGGCCAGAGAGCCTCACGAGAAAATTTTTATCTTATACGAAACTTTGCAATGCAAAGAGTAACTCTATTAATAATTAATTAGGAATAGATATTCTAAACTCCTTATTTTCTCAAGGTGTTAAAGTAAGCCTTAAACCATGCCTAGAGTGGGCACATTCGACGTTTTCATATCAATTTTTAAATTTAGTAATTAAGAAGAATACGTTTACTATAACCTTGAACTTTATTTTCAGTCACAATTCAGAATTCATTTACTAGCTTATTTATTTTTAGATTATTCTCTCTGAATGCAGTCAATATATGTGAAAATAAAGGTTTTTAAGTCTTGTTTACAGTTTAACGCCATTAGACGACGCATTAACCATTTCACGGTCCATTTTCGTCCAACAAATTCCAACACGACATTTAGGTAACTTAATCAACTTAAAGTCACACGTTGGTCCTATGTAAGTTAAACTAACTTCTGCAGGGTGGAATCCGTGAAGCGTGCAGGCAATGAAGAATTTGATATATTTGATAAGTTTTGTATTTTTTAACAGATATTTACGGATTGCAAGTGTCTGAAACCTCCTGTAACAAGCATCAACGCGGAATGGTTCGTCCATGACAACTCATCACTTCCAGAGACTTCCACGTCCAATTTTCTAGGAGGAATCACTTTCCCTGGTTCCTGCCCCATCGACTGTTCCAAAAAGTTCATCATCTTCTTAGCCGTAGTGTGTC